TGAAGCCAGCTGAGTTCTGGCAGAGAGGGGCTCTGGGTTACTGAGCACCGAGATTTTTGTTAAAAGCACAGATAGGGCTCCCAGGAGGGCTGGAGAATCCCAGCAGGTCCCACCTCAGGGAATTTCCACCAGGCTAGGATGTATTCTGCTCTCAGGGAGACTCCGAGCAGTTTGAGGGGGAGCGAGGGTCCCTGCGCCTCCGGCCAAAGGATGGATGGCAGGAAGTGGGAAGTGCTGGTGTTGCCCAAAACAGAGGGCTCTCCCGGCCCCCACACCAGCTGGTCTCCCTGCCCCGATAAGGTGTGCCAGCTCAGCCCTTCCTTTTCTCCAGTGAGGGAAACACGGGCTTCTTGAGAGGGTGGGAACGCTCTCAGAGTGGTGGGGGAAATCCCAGAGAGTGGGCAGGGTTCCAGAGAGGATGGCAGCTTCAGAAAGAGAGGGTGAGGCCTTCAGAAAGGGATGGGGACTTTAGAGAAGTGATGGAGACCTCAGAAAGAGGGTGGAGGCTTTGAGAGAGGATGCGAGCTTAGAGAGAGGATGGGGGCTTCACAGAGGAGGCAGGTAGGACTGCAGTGAGGGGGATGGGGGCTCAAAGTCAGGGTAGAAGCTCACTGAGGGGTCAGGTGAGAGGGAGGAGGGCTGGAGGTCTAAGGAGGGGACCTGGCTGGATTCTGGGTCCAATTTGGGGTTTGGTTCTGGACTGCAGGTTCCAGCCAAGGGCAGGTTCTGAGGAGAAATCTTGCTCCACCCAAGGGGTCCCGGAAGTGTGTGTAGCACCTGGGCCAAAGGTTTGTTCTCGTGGGCTTTCTCATGCTCAAAGAACCTGTCCAGCCCATGGGCCTTCACGATGCGCTCCGACTCATCCGAGAAGAGCACAGCATCTCCGTCGAAGGCCACGCGCAGCTGACTCTGGGATACAGCCACGTCCCTGCTGGGGCTGAAGATGGTGGCGGCTGCAATCCCTGGGCAGAGAGAGGCAAGCATTGTCTGCCTCCATATAGGTAATGGGGTCCCCAGACATGCGCCTCAGCTGCCTGCGGGCCAAGAGAGGGCTATCTCAGGCTGTCCTTGCCCCACCTACCTCACCCAGGACTCAGGGCCAGGCTAATGAGGGCTAATATTCAGAATATTTCAAAATTGACCAACAAGAATGGGCAGTGGCTTTTGCTTTGAGTAAGGCTCTGAGGGCCCAGGCCTATGCCAGGGTTTCCTGTTTAGTTGCTGCTTTGAGGGAAGATCTGGGAGGGGAGGGAATCCCAGGGAACAGAGGGGCACTCAAAGCACTCAGGGCAGGAGCTATTTAACAATCAGTACGGAGGAATTTCAATAGCTTAATATCTAGGGAGGTTATGCTGTTATGGACCAGTTGAATGTCAGTCCCAGCTGGAAGGAAGGGTCCCCATGGCCACTGCTGTCCTTCCAGGAGTTCCTCACGGGCCCTCGATGTAGATCTACAGAGGAGCCAGGAAAGAGCCCCAACCTTGGCTGGTCCTCAGTTAATCTCTTGCTGTTGATTCTGGCAAGTCACTCACTTTCTCTGCACCAAGATAAAATGAACGGTGGCCAGCCTCACAGAAACCTCGCTAGCCTAAGGGTGCTATAATTAGGCCCAAGCCCTAGGCATCAGGCTAGGCACCTCCTCAGCTCTGAACCAAGCGAATATAAACCAGAACCACCTGACCCTGGGCTGGACCTCCCTCCTGACCATCCCCTGCTCCCTAGCCTGAGCTTAAACTATAGACATATAGAGGCACACATGCAGGCCAGTGCCAAGGCCCTGACCAGAGGGCATATCTGTCTAGGGAAATGGCTTCTGGTTCCTGGTTAGAGAAAATCTCTTGGAGCTGGGAGGATATAGCTCAGTGGTAGAGTGCATGCTTAGGATGCACGAGTACTCTCTAGTACTTCCATTAAAATACATAAATAGATAAATACATCCTAATTACCTCCCGCTCCAAAAAAAAAAAAAAAGAAGAAGAAGAAGAAGGAGAGCCCCTTGGAGCCCCAAGCAGCTCAGGGAAATAAGGCATCAGCGGGGAGAAAGGCCAGGCTTCTAGTCAGAAGACCTCATGAAAGAGGAAGAGAAAAGTGAATATATTGTTGGTTGATAAAGAAACCTGCCAGTAGCATTCATCTTGGGGTTCTCAGAATTTATAGGGCAGGTTGCAGGAATTAAGGAAGGTACCCCCCTTCCAGTTACTATGGCAACCCCTAGCACCTGCTCAGAGATTTAGGACCAGGCCTCCCATCTCTGGAATCCCTTTGCCAGACTCCCCACTCTCCTTCCCCAGTTTGACTCACCTTCATCAATGGCTTCCTGCACTTTTTCTGCATCAGCCGACAAGTAGAGGTTGGTGTGGTAGGCCTTGAGGTAGCAGATGGGGCTGTTCCCGCCTGTCATGCAGAACCTCTCAATGAACAGATCTGGGGAGGAGGTAGAGAGTACCCAGGTGATGCCTGGGTCAACCCACAGCACCTCAGAGTGGTTTCTCCGTGTCCGATGGACGCCATCTTGGTTCTGAGTGTCGGTGGGGCAGCAGAGTGATTCTCTGAGTGGTTTTAGGCCAGCATTCTCCCTCTCTGAGCCCCTCCATCCCTTATACTCTGGAGGGACTGCCTGGCTCCCAGTAATATACCCTTGTCAGGGAATCACAGTACTACAAAAGTGAGTCCCCAGTCATGACTTGTGGTCCCTCCTGGCCATGGCTAATTGGACAGGGGCAGGCACCTGACCCAAGCTGGACCAACCGGATTCTCTCCCAGCCTGGACTGATAGTCACCTCGTATCCATGTCTGTGCAGGCTGTAAAATGTAGTTTGTTGGTAAATGGCTGCTTCTCTGAGCCCACTGAGTCACCCTATTTCTACCCCAGCTCTTCACTCAGGAGGATCCACAATAGAAGGGCACAGCGGGAGCCCATCAGGACCCTGCCCCAGGACCATAGGTGGTGCCTGTCCTGATTCCTCGGCACCTATGTCACAAGGGGGTTAAATATTTTGAATATCATCCCTGTTGCCAGCAATTAGGATTAAAACATGCCAACTGGCAAACCAAATCTTACAACCTATAAAAAAGATCATACACCATAGTCAGGTTGGATTCATCCCAGGGTCACAAGGATGGTTCATACACAACTTAATCAATGTGATACACCACATCAACAAAAGCAAAGACAAAAACCGCATGATCATCCCAATAGATGCAGAAAAAACATCTGATAAAATTCAACATCCATTGATGATAAAGACTCTCACCAAAGTGTGTGTAGAGGGAATATAGCTCAACATAATAAAAGCTATTTATGACAAACCCACAGCCAACATAATACTCAACAGTGAAAAGCTGAGAGCCTTCCTGCTAAGGTCTGGGACAAGACAAGGATGCCCACTCTCACCACTTCTATTCAACCTAGTATTGGAAGTCCTAACCACAGCAATCAGACAAGGAAAAGAGATAGAAGGTATTCAGATTGGAAGGGAAGAGGTAAAATTGTCATCATATGCAGATGACATATTACCCTATACAGAAAACCCTAAAGATTCCACACAAAAGCTATTAGAACTGATGAATGAATTCAGGGTACAAGATTAACACACAAAAATCTGTTGCATTTCTTTACACTAACAATGAAATATCCGAAAGAAAGTTAAAAATATCAGTTCTTGCACTAGCTTGCAAGAGCCAGATGTTAAACTTCCAGGGACTTTTGGAGCCAGTTAGTGTTCAACTGTGGGTAGCTTGACATCAGCTATGGTTGGAATATTTACACCCTGAAGATAGCAGTGCTACAATCAGGGCTCTTTGGTTTGTTTGTTTGTTTGTTTTTCTTGAAAGAGCCAGTTTACTAGCATCTGGCTGGGCTTGAGGTTCGTGGGTATACCTGCATCCTGCAGAGGTGCGGCCCCCGCTCGGGGAGTCCGGCAGGGGCCATGCCATGGCCAGACCCGCATGCTCACCGTAGTGGTTGATGCTGTTGATGAGACGGACCCCCACTTGAGCGTGGTTGTTGGTCACAAGGACGATGTCAAAGACATCCTCACTCTCGGGGTACAGCTCCCGCAGCCGCTTGTTCACAGCCTCCAGAGCCTGGATGGAAGAGTGGACCCTCCAGCTCAGACCCCCAGGGACTGATGCCTGGAGTTGGGATCCAGGGTTGGGGAGGAAGGGTAAGCTGGGATCCAACAGCGGGGACAAGAGGGGAGGTCAGGGGCCAGGCTCGGGGTAAGATCAGTGGACACGAACTATCTCCTAATCTCTGCCGTCGTGTGAGTTAATTATTGCCCAGGGCTGCGGCACTAAATGAGTGAGTGGGAGCCAAAATCCAGCCCATGTTCCATATACCAAGCTGGTCCCCTGGCGTGGGGCTGCATCAATCCAGAGGGTGGGGTGACCCTGTCTTCCCACGATGGCTGCCCCCTCACCAAGCTGTGCTCCTGGGGCATCTACTCAGAGGGCACCCCCTGTCCTTACTCAAACACCCGTGGGGGCGCTTTAATCTAATGCCCACGAAGGCGCTGTGTGGCCAGTGGTGGAACGGCGCCTCACCTTCACGAAGGGGAAGGCCGGCCCGGGGCTGAAGGGCTCGTTCTCATGTTCCAGCTGGTAGCGCACATACTCCTCCACGCCCTGCTCCGTGTAGATCCGCTGCTCCTCGTCCATGCGGAACAAGGCTCGGGAGGACACGGCAATGGTGACCGCATTCTGAGGCTTGGGCTGCAGGGGTGCAGGGGAAAGGGCCATCCCTCAGGAGGCAGGTCTCATGTGCCAGTCTCTCTGGGGACTGGGGACAGGGAGAAGACCCAGATCCAGCCTCTGGCCTAAGGAGCTCCACCTTGGGCAGAGACAGACCTAGATCAGGACCCTTTGTGGAGGCCCCAGCTGGGAAATGAGGAAGATGATGGCTCCCTACTGAGGAGGACAATCTGACAGGAGGCACATGCCCCTGGGGCGTTTGCAATCTCCTGGGCCGTCTGGACATAACAGGAAAATGAACATAGTGTATACACCCAAAGTATGACTGATGCTCAAGATGGTTTCCATTATAAAATGAGAGCTACACGTCCTGAGGAAGAAATGTTCCTAGAAACATGACCATTATGTAAGAACATCTGTCTCCAGCACCGATCTTTCTCCTGAGCTCCGGACTCATATATCTAACTGCCCCAGTTGACTAACAGAAACTCAAACTCATCATGCCCAAGGCTGAAGTCCCAGCATTCTCTCCACCCCCAAACCTGCTTCCCTCCCCACTTCCTTATGCTCACCATCCACTCATCACCTAGGCCAGAGGCCCAGAATTCAACCTCAAGTCTTCCTTCCTCCTCAACTCCCTTCCCCCATCATTCAATCACCAAAACCTATCAACTCCATTAGAATGCATCCACTTCTTTCTGTCTTCCCTACCATGGTCCAGTCCATCACCATCTCTCATCCCCACCAATCTGGGGTCTCTATAGTTGTCAGGGGATTTTTCTCAAGCTCAGATCTGATCATGCCCCTTCTTACCCTCTTTCAATGGTGCCCACTCTTCTCACACTTTGGTCGGCAGCCTTGAGTATGAAACAGGAAGCCCTTTATAACAGACCCCTACCTCTCTCTCCACTCTCCCCTTCCTATTAACCCACTTTGCTCTATCTGAACTTTCTCACGTCTAAGCACACCCTCCCCTCCTTCTCTGAGCTTCTACACATGACGTTTCCTCTACATGATCTGCTCTTTCCCTGACTCTCCATCCACCTAACTTCTAGCCAACCTTCAGGTCTCAAACTAATGCCATCCCTAGGAAGCCTTCTCTTACCTGTAGTCATGGGCTTGCTACCTTTCCTTTGGATTTCTTTTTTAGTAAAATTTAACACTAAATTATAATGGTTTACTTAACTACTTGTATTTCCAGACAGAGTTCTGGAGGCAGGGGCCAGGCTTAAGCTCTCAGGGAGCAGGCACCAGGACGATCCTGTTCATTTATTGTATCTCTAGTGCTCAGAACTCTGTCTAGTACATAGTAAGTGCTCAGTAAATAGTTAATGTCTCTGAACATTTTAAATAATGTATTTTAATGAGAAACAGTATTTGCCATAACAAATTTAACATGAACTAGAAACTCCACTGCAGTGCCCTCAACTGTTCAATTGCTTGATATATACAGTACGTGCTCAGAGAATATTGTTTTCATTGATGCAAATTTGACAAACATTCATTGGTTCTATGTGCTCAGCACCTGGGCTCTGCCTGGGAATGGTCCTGGTAGAGACTTGGCTCTTGACCTCAGAGTCACAGGCTGATAGGGGAGAAAGATGGGTAAGCAGAGAGGCAAAGGGGACTGAAATGAGTGCTAGAACACAAGTGAAAGCAAAGTCTCAATGTCCAGGGCTCAGAGGAAGTTGTCATGGGAGAGGGAGGCATTTCAGCAGAGCCTTGAAGGAGCAGCAGGATGAAGGAAGGCATGAGGGGGTGTGCACATGCACTGGGCCTTCACAAAGGTGAGCAGAGCTTTGGGGATATAAGTACAGTTGAGTTTGGAAGAGTAGGCAGGTGCTAGATTGTAGAAGGCCTTTCAGGGCCCCAGGGGGCACTCAGAACTCCTTCAGCACCTCCAGTGGAATGAGGAGAGGGGAACGCCAACACTGGCAGCAGCTGGACTCTTCATAATCCCTGGGGAAGACCAGAATGCGGGTCCCCAAGGGCCTCACAGACACTCGGAGTCCCACCACATGTCTGTGACTTGAGCAGCCCTGGGACCACGGTTCCCACTTTACAGATGAGGAAATGGGCTCAAGTTGGGGGCAGGACTCAAAAATGGACCTCACATTCAGGCCTGCTCCTGAGAGACCTGCGGACCATACACTCAACCCCATTGCCTCTCTAGAGTCAAGCCTGGGTCCTGATCAGTTGACAACATTGAGTGATTATTACGTGACAGGCACTATGCTGGGGACATGGCAGGAAACCATACAGGTGTGATCCCTGCCCCTATGGGGCTTGTGATGTACCCCCAAGGCAGAGATTTGTGCATCCTTTTGAAGATCACAGTCCAACAGACCTTTCTGTGATAACAGAAATGCCTGGTGCTCTCCGTCTCTCCATGTGGCTGCATGTGACTAGGGAGCTACTTAAATGTGACCCAGTGAGACAAAGGAACTGAATTTTTAATTGTATTTAATTTTAATCAATTTAAATTTTAGTATCTATGAATGGCTAGTGGCTAATGAAACTTTAGAATTTCAAAGTAAGAATGGAAGACCAAAGAGTCCCCAAGTTCATGAGGCAGACCTCAGGTCGCATTTGACGTTTACTCCAATCAAGATGGTGTGTAGGGCCAGCAGGGTGAGGATAAGGCATTGGCAGAACAGGTGTCTGTCCTCTGGGGCTCAGCCCAAGTGCCTCTCCCAGCTGCCAAACACCCCCATGTGTCTGTGTATCCTTGGGCTGGGTACCATCCAACCCCCTCAGCCACTGTGAGGAGGAAGGAAGCAAGGGAAAGTTAAAGAAAAGGGGTGTAGAGGGATGGCCAGGGATGCTAAGGGTATGGTTGGAGGAGTGGGCAGACCCACTCTTATAAACCCAGGAAGCCTGTTGGCCTTCAGAGCAGGAGCTGAGCTTGCCTCGCTCCCCTGGGTTATTGCCCCAGGGACAGGCCCATCACCTCTTCAAGGACAGAGAGCCAACTACCCTCCCAACCCCTTCAGGCAGGTTCCCAAGCCGGCCGCTCCAGCCCAGGCAGCCAGCCAAGGTCTCGCTTCTCACTTTCTGTCCCACAGTCCCTGCCACACTGCCTCGTTCTGGGCCTTCTCTGGCTGACCTGCCCAGACCCCATCCCATCCCACCTCTGGCCATTGTGAGAAAACTATCCCAGCTGCCTTGGTCCCAGGAGTCTCCACTTCCCTGTTTACAGATGGGGAAATAGGCCCAGAGAGGGGCTGAGTATTACTCTAGGTCATACAGGAAAGTCAAGGCAAAGCCAGGATAGGATCTCAAGTCTCCGGCCTCTAGTCTGGTCTCTGTCTACACAGTAGAACCCCCACCACCACCATATACCCCTCCAATCACTCCCAGAAGACCTCAACCCCTGCTACTTCAGGTAGTGCCCTGGGACACTCCCCCTACACATGGCCCTTCCTTTCCAGATTTGGGAAAAATGGTGAGGGGCACCATGTCCTCAGACTGAGGTTCTAAGAGCAGGGCTCACATTTCCCCCAAGAATGGAGGTCCTCAGGAAGGACCCTGCTTCCCCGCTCAGCCTGCTCTGACACTGTACGAGTGAAGAGGAGTCTAAGGGCATGGAGGGAGTCAGCTGCTGTGGGAAATACGGATCCCAGCTGGGAGAGAGGAGAGGCCTGTCCTGGCTCCAGGCAGAGGCGAAGAACAGGCGAAAGGGGCTGGTCAGAGCTGGGGAGAAGCCAGGCACTTAGAGACCCCCTTGGACCTCACTGCAGATGGGGCCACCAGTTCCTCCAGAAATCAGAAAGAAGCCCAGATGCCAGACTGAGTCTTTGGTCAGAAAGCCACTTACCCCGGACCAGGGACTCAGCCTCGGAACACTGGGCTCCAGGGAGCCAGGGTCCTGCCAGCTCTCTCTGCTTCCACTTGGCTGGGTTGGGGGGCCCAGCTATTATTCTGGTTTAGGGGACAGGGGTGGAAGGATAATGGAGGGCAGTCTAGCCCCACCCAGCCTGCCTGGGGAGCTCTCATTTAGGCTGACATGATTCTAGTATTGGGCCCAAGATAGGAGCATAGCCAAAAGCTATTATTTCTAGAAGGACTTAAAGGGAGAAGGGCTGCTGGAGGAGAGAGGAACCAGACAGGTCTAGACTGAAAAAGTCACCTGACCTCTTGAGGTGAGGGCCTCTTATAGGCCTTCAGAGGCTAAATATTTCACTCAGGCTCCTGGGGATGAGAATAACCCTAGGCCAGGCCCTAATGGGGCCCAGGAGGCCCAAAGACCCTGAAATAGCCTGTGGGGGAGGGGTTACTGCAGGAAGGAGTAGGGGCTGGGCAGCCGCCAGTCTCCTTGCCTTCCAGAGAACAGCCAGGGTCAGGGGCGGACCGAGCGGTCATAACTGATGATTGGGCCCGAGCCCCCAGGTTCCTTGGTGCTTGGGGAGGAAACAGATTCCTGTGCTCCACTCACCACCCTCGTCCCCATCATCCAAACCCTCCTTTCCATCCCCCAGGTGGTGACATTAGCCCAGCTTCCTTCTCAGGCAGGGACCAGCCTCTTCATTGATCTGCCTGCTGCCAGATGCGCCCTCTCCAACCCATTCATCCACCACACACCCTTGGTAAAATGGACCAAGTTAATCCTTTGCTGAAAAATCTTACAATAGCTCCATAATAGTTTTCATATATTTTTTAAAGTAGGTTGACATTTTATGCAAATGAACTGAGGGGAACCCCAATATGTAAACCATATAGTACTATATTTTACTGGTATAAATTTACTTTACAAATTCAAATGTATTACATGTTTACAATATGTTTATTGTAATGTCAACCAAAGAAAACAACACAGTTGTTTGGGTGATAACAAATTTGAAACTAGGGGTTTAGGAGGCCAGGGCAGATTTAAGCTTCATCGTCTAGTCAATTTGTTTCTGCGTTTGTTGGTTTTTGCATAGCATCGAGAACACCCTGATTCACACCAATAAGTGGTTGCAAATGGTAAGAGGTTTTTTGTTTTGTTCTATTTTAAACTACAAGTTTCAGGAGACACAGCAACAATTTTCGGCAATCTCAAGATACTACTCTTCTATTAAAATAAATCACAGGAAAAGCTTTATACTGAGGTTTGCTAATAAAATAAAAAATCAACTTGTAGCATTAGTTAATATGTTAGAAGTCTCCAAGGTGCTAAAATGTCCAATAACACCTTTGAGTGAGTTGAGTTTTATTACATATTTTTACTTGTTAAAACATAGTTTGAGGGGGGAAGATATAGCTCAGTGGTAGAGCACATGCTTAGTATGCGTGAGATCCTGGATTCAATTCCCAGTACCTCTATAAAAAAAAAAGTTAAATGAATAACCTAATTACCTGCCCCCCCCAAGAAAACCCCCCACTAAATAAATAAATAATTTTTTAAAATAGTTTGGGGAAGAAAGAAAATGAATTGACTTCACATGTGTGCAGACCCCCTGAAACATGGGGCTTCATGGAGCCTAGTTTTAAGACCTGTGACCCTACTGAATAAGGTCCAGACTCCTTACCGTGGCACTCAAGGCCTTCTGTGGGTCACCGGCATTCTCTCCAGCCCTTCTCCTAAAGATCCTGCATTCTCTCACTCAGTTTCAAAGACATCATCGTGCCTTTTACCCATCCTGTTTCCCTCTCTGCCTTGGAAAGCCTGCCTATTCAGGCTTTAAGGTCAGCTCAAACACCACCTTTAAAAGCCTTCCTTAGTTGACAGCCACTCCCTCCCTTAAGCTCCCACTAGGGTCTTTCACCTGAGCACTCTCCACGTCCAGGGTCTCTGTGAGCTCCTGAGGCAGGGACTCAGCCTAATTCATCTCTCAATCCCCAGTGCTAAGCAGGCCTGCAGATGTTGCAGGGAATGACTGTTGACAAGGTGGGCCTCATGGGAAGGGTCTTTGACAGAAGCAGCAGGATGCTTTAAGGTCAATGGAGGATGCTCAGAGCCAGCTTCTATCCTCCGTCCCTATCCCAGGCTCTGAGATCTGGGAAGCTGGAGTGAGCAAGGCCCAGGGACCAACCAGGGCATCATGAACTTGTCCAATGGGGACAGGAGATTTCTGCTCTGTGTGAGTACCGGAGGACTGAGACGACCACGCGGGTGGCGGAAACGTTGATGTCAGCGAGCCTACGAGGGGAGCAGAGCCCGGAGCTGGAGCATATAGTCCAGAGTTGGGAACCCAGAACCAGGGACGCAGAGCCCTGAGCGCAGATCCCAGTGCAGTTGTTTTTTGCTTTTGTTTTTGTTTTTTCCTTAAGATATGGGGAGGGTAGGACTCCGAGTCCCCAAACGCAGATGCTCGGGTCCGAAGCCTGGTGCCCGGATGGCAGACATCGGAGCGCACAGCAAGGAGCCGGGTCTTCAGAGTCGGGTTACCTGAGCCCAGGGCGCTCCCGCAGGCGCAGCGGACCGGCTTTGCCAACAAGTGCTGTCCGTGCGCTCCAGGCTGCCCGAGCGGGGAGGGGCTGGGCCGCGGCCCGGAGCTGGGCCCTGATGACAGTGTGGGGGAGGGGGATCTGGCGTGGAACCCGAACCCCGGGGGAAAAAACACCCGAGCGGAGCTCCCAGAATAAACCCAAGCCAGCGCCAACGGCCTGGTGTATTCTTGTGCTGCAGAGGTGCCCTTCTCGGAGGGGCACCACGGGTCCCTCTCCAGAGGGCTGACGACCCCTCTCCCGGTGATCATCCCACCAGCCTTCCCCCATACCCATGCTCTGCCTTTACCGATTTGGGTTTCTTCTTGGGCGCGAGGTTGTCGTAGAAAGTCTTGGCTTCCTCCCAGCGCGGGGCCGCGGTGCTCTCTGCGCCCGGCCCGGCCTCTCGGGTCTCCCGGGGCTCCTCGGGTTCCATGCTCCGGCTCTGACTCGGCCGGGCCGGAGCAGGAGTCGGCGGACGGCGGAGCAGCGGGGCTGGTCTGCGGGAGGGAGGCGCGT